AGACTTGCCGAAGTTGTCAAAACTTACGCATGTCTAGATTTCCAGCGCCACAAGCCACCATCCATCAAACCAGCTGGCCTGCTGCAGCCTGTCTGAGTGCCTGCGACACCGTTCGCACAAATTGGCATGAATTTTCTGGGCCCCTTCCCAAAGTCTGCCACTGGAAACAGGTGGATAATCGTCGCCACGGATTACCTGACCCGATACGCGGAGACAGGCACTCTGCCACAGGCAACGGCAGCTAAAGCAGCACAATTTTTCATCGAAGCCATCGTCTTAAGACACGGCGCTCCCGCTACAGTCATCACAGACAGAGGTACTGCGTTCATGGCCGAGCTTTTGGACACCATTTTCCGACTAAGTGGTACAGCTCACAGGAAGACCACGGCGTATCATCCCCAGACCAACGGGCTCACCGAACGCCTCAACAAGACCCTGGCTGACACGATAAGCATGTACGTAGATGTAGAGCACAAGAACTGGGACGCCATTTTGCCCTATGTCACGTACGCGTACAAACACGGCACGTCAGGAGACCACTCAGAAGACACCATTCAGTCTCTTTTACGGACGTGAGGTTACGACAAGGTTAGACGCAATGCTCCCTCATGAAAATAACGGCAATGAGACGGACGCCGAAGAGTTTACCCAGCTAGCAGAAGAAGCCAGACAACTTGCCAGGTTGCGAATCAGCAAACAACACGACGACGATGCCAAACATTACAACCTCCCGCACAGACCCGTCAAATACAACGTGGACGACAAAGTATGGGTCTGGACACCTATTCGTCAGCATGGGCTCTCCAAAAAGCTGTTGCGAAGATACTTCGGACCCTACAAGGTTCTGCGACGCATCAGTGACTTCAACTACGAGGTTGTTCCGGACGGCCTGCAGTGTTCGAAGCGGCACAGACATTCACCAGAAATTGTCCATGTGCTTCGGACGAAGCCTTACTTTCAGTGACTAACTGTGCAGTTTTGATTTCGCTTTGCTGCTCGAACGTTTAACATCGGGACGATGTTTTTTTTTAAAGGGGAATAATGCCGCGCGTATGTGCCAGTGGTGAGGACAACGAAGCAGGGCGAGTGTCCTTGGCCGAGGGCAAAAGACGAAGAAGTCGTTGCAGTCTGTTTCCTGCGATCAATAAATCGTATTTGTTTGAGGCGCTTTGTGTGCTAGTCAATCTCGCATCGTCACAATATTAACTGATAAAAAGTGTGTGTGCCATAATATTTTCACTCGAAATGGCAAAATAAAGTTTTGAAAGTATTTTTCTCGAAACAAAGATTTTGACCACTTTGCTTGTTTTGTGAATGTGGACCTAGCACAGCTAGAGCTATAATTATTTTTGTACAATATAGCTGAATGTGCACAGAAAACAACGCTGAGAGCTGATTTTCAATGTATAGCTCTAGTTTTTTATTTAATATAACATTTTTTGTTCTTGGTTACATACAGTGAACTTTATTGTGATGTAATTCGAGAAGTACTCGTTCAATTTTGATCAGGTGAGCGTTGCACTCCTTGGGCTTTTTAGTATGCATATATATGTTAATGGCTGTGTAATTCTAGGTAAATAAATTTTTATGGTTAAAAATTTTAGAATTCTTTGTTTTCTTAATTTTCTCAAAATGGCAATTTTTTTTCACACCCTGTGTGACAATTCCTGCAATATATCGGAAACTATTACAGATAGTAAAATAATTCTTTTTGCATTTAAAGCTATATGTTTGGAGCACACAGCATAGGAAGCAGATTTTAATTTCTCTTGATGCAAGTTTTTAAAGTAAGTTTTTTGTGTGATCACACCATAATCACATTCAGAGCTATGAAGTTTAGTGTACTGGAATGTAAGAAGTACTGACCCACTCAAAAAAGTACTCCCTATGTTGTGTGTTTTATGCTTTCTACTGTTAATCCCTTTGTCATTTGTAAACTTTTGACTGGTGGTTATTTTCTATGGTGGTAAGAGTAATAGAGATTGCTATCTTGATTCAATGAAATAATGAAGCTACACAACAAATAACTGCATGCCAACTTTTATACTCAGTTAAAAAATAGATAAGATATCCCATAGACCCATATCCCCCCTTAACACTCCGAAGGGGCCATATATACTGAGTCACAAGGCTGCCGTTCGGGGTTTTATCAACTCTGGCTATACTACTTCAGCGTGCGATGGAAAAATCCTTTGCATGCCCTTGAACATGTCGTAGTGTACTTTGACGATATTTTGTTCACAGGAACCAGTGACAAAGACCATTTGGGAAAATTTGGGCCGAGTGTTACATCGCCTGAAAACAACAGGACTGCGACTGAAGTTATCCAAATGTGAATTCGTGAAACCAGAAGTCCAGTACTTAGGCCATGTCATTAGTGCGGCTGGGCTACGTTCAAACCCGGTTAGGAATGAAACAGTGCTTGAAGCCCCAGCACCCCGAGCAGTCAAGAAACTGCAGAGTTACCTCAGATTGGTTAATTTTTACAGAAGGTTTTCGCCAAACCTTACGCCCGTTTTACAGCTGCTCAATAGCTTGTTGGCAACAGGAACACCTTGACGCTGGGAAACTCATGAAGAGCAGGCATTTCGGAGAAGCAAGGAGCTATTGGCCTTTGCTGCTATACTGACACACTTTGACCCAAGAAAGTCAACTGTGCTTGTCACTGATGCATCTCCTTTCGTTACTGGAGCAGTGCTGGTGCAACGAGACTCATCTGGAGAAGAGCGCCCCATTGGTTGTGCCTCCCACGGCCTGACAAATGCGGAGAAAAACTTCAGCCGATTAGATAAGGAGGCCTTGTATTTGGCGTTACAAAGTTCAGGCAGTACATATGGGGCCGGCATTTCGAGGCCATCACAGATTACAAACCACTGCTCGGCCTGCTCACAGCAGACAAACCAGTTCCCGAATTCTGTTCTCTGAGAGTGCTAAGGTGTGCCTTGCTGTTGTTGGAGTACAGTTACAACCTGAAGTATAGGCCGGGCTCACAAATTCCACATGCCTATGGGTTAAGCAGGCTACCTCTGCCAACTGCTGATTTTGCTGTTGACTGCCCTGCTGAAGTGTTAATGCTGGAAGGAGTCTGCCCAGAGGAGCTGTCGTCAAATGCTGTTGCGGCTGCCACCTTCAGAGACCCGGTGCTGTCGAAAGTAAGAGCAGCGTTGAGGTCAGGTTGCCAGATAAACCTAGGCTCAGAGGGAGAATGCTACATTGGGCATTGCACTGAGGCACCCCTCATAATACATTTTATGATTTCAGGGCATTAAAATGCACAAATTTTCATTTACAACTTCTTATAGCAACAATGTGCAGTCCAAAACAAATTAAGAGTTTAAATCTTCAATAAGGAGTGCACATCTACCAAGGAAAGTCGTCCAGTTACTGCATGAGAGTCATCCAGGACTGTTCGAAATGAAGGCAGTTGCGCGTAGCCATGTGTGGTGGCCTAGCATGGATAACAATATAGTGATAACCATTCAAAGATGCCGCATTTGCCAAGAGCATCAATCAAAGAATGTCATGATTAGTGCCTGTCATGCCCTGGCCAATCCTTGAAAAACTGTGGTCACGGCTGCAAGTGAACTGTGCCGGTCCTTACAGGAACACCTTTTTTTTTTTTATCGCAGTCTATGTGTTCCCAAAGTGGATCGAAGTGTTCCCGGTCTCCACACCCTCGGCTGAAGCAACTATTGCCTGCATGCGAATTATGTTCGCAAACCAAGGCCTTCCAGATGTGGTCGTGTCGGATAATGGGTCGGCATTTACCAGTGAGGTCTACTCCGCATTCCTAAAAAAAAAAAAACGGGGTGAGGCGAATGCTGGTGCTGCCGCATCACCCAGCGTCAAACGGTGCTGCAGAGCGGGCAGTGCAGACTCTCAAAAACAAGTTGTGGAAGGCGGCCCCTGGAGATATCCGCACTCAAATCGCCCACATTTTCCCGACTTACCAGTCCGCGCCTCACGAGGTCATGGGTTGCTGTCCCTCGGAAATGTTGTTGGGGCGGAAGCTGAGGGCTGTGTTGGACCTGCTACACTCAGACCTCAAGAATAAGGTGCTACAGAAGCAACTTGAGCAGAAAATCAGATGCGACCAAGGAACAAGACCCAGGGTCACCCCGGTTACCAGGTGTTGGCAAGGCCCAGGTCCTCCGTGGCTGCCTGCAGTGATCATCAAACAACGCGTGTAGCTCGACATCTTGATCACATCCACCAGCCCAACAAGGAAGTGAGTGAAAACGAAACCGAAAGTCAGGCAGCTCCATAGCTACAGGTCTTGCTCCAAGCTCGGAGGTGGGTCAGAGGCAGCTAACTTCGGATCGCCTTCACGACAAAGAGTCTACGCAAGATCCCAGTGAAGACATGGCAAGGAAAATATAACTTGCTGTTACAGCACCCAGTACTCCTGTCCTGTGTCGAAGTACCACAATTCGACGACCAGTATCGCACTACTCACTTTAAACAATTGTTTGCATCCATTATTAAAGACGGAGGGATGTGATAAGATTAGTGTGTCATTCCGGCGCCCGGGGGCATCGATGCCAATGAAATATATACAGCACGGATGAACAGCCAGTCAGTGTGGTACCCGCCAACGTACGTGTGTGTAATTCGGTCTGGCGGCCGGCATGGCCCAGAACTACCTGGTTATCACAATACCAAAGGGGCATTTCGTGCTCAGTGAGGCCACACGCACTTTAGCATTGGTACTAAATATGTTCTAGGCTAAATTATGCATTGATATTTCGCAGATGATCTTCGTAGATGATGCATACATGTTCACACAAATCTATTACGTAAGTTATCTTGCCTTCAAGGTTTTCTGTCAGTACTCCTTTAATTGCATGCTAATAACGATAGACTGAAGCAACTACGAAACAACACATTACCTTGTTACATTCCTTAAACTGTAACATCTTAATAATTTTGTGCAAGCTTGACATATCTGCAAACAGTGCAACATAATTTAGGCCTGATACGGCCCTCTGCAAAGCACCCACCGCAGAAGAGGTGTCCACAGTTGGTCTCCACGGAGTGTCGGGGCTCGCCCAGGCAGATGGGGCACTGCGCGTCCGATCCATAGTGCGCTGCCATGCTGCCACGTGCAGGCAACGCAGCCCCATTGTCCAGCCTCGCCCTTGTAGATGCGGCTGGCAGTGGACTTGACAAAAGCTGCCTCCGTTGCTGCCACCTATCGGTGACGAAACATATTGATACTGCAAGCGGGTCCATTAGAGCACATGGTAGGAGAGAAAGCTGTACAAGCGTGAGATTCGTAAATTTTTGTCCTTTGTGTTAGCAGCCAAAACGAGGCAACACGGGCGTGATTGCAGGTGGTTCAGTTGAGTAAGAAGTTACAAACGATAGAAGCTTGAAATGCAACAAATTTGTGAACATGGCATGCCGCTGAAACGAACGTTTTGACAAGTGGACTTTGTCTTCTTAAATGTTGCAACTGCTTTCTTTGGCACTCCATATGTACTCAATGGTAACACGATTGTAGCACACAGGCCGACTTTTCATGGCATCCCCCCCTCCCCCTCCGCCAGAAGAAAAATAGTATTTCAGTACAATAAAAGCTCAATAATTCAAACTCTAAAGGGTCAATCAAATTGTTCAAATTAATAAGAGCTCGAATTAGTGGACAGGCGCTAGAATGAACAGAGATTGTGTCAAGATGACCCAGAGAAGCCACCACTGGACTCATTCTCGCAAATCAGGCGATTCTACATGCTTAAACCAGGTAATTTCTAAAAATAGGTTCATGCTCTAACAGCCAAGAGAATTGATTAATCAGTCAGTCATAAGCCAGAAACAAGCAGCAACTTTCATTTACGTGAGCCTTGCATTGCTAAAATACACAAAGCTATTTGTGCTCCAAAACATGTTCATTTATATGGCAGAGTTAACATACTGAAAATTTCAAGCCTTTCCTTCTCAGTTCTTTTAGAACAATATTGCAATTGTCCAAGATTGATGATTGATTGATATGTGGGGTTTAACGTCCCAAAACCACCATATGATTATGAGAGACGCCGTAGTGGAGGGCTCCGGAAATTTCGACCACCCGGGGTTCTTTAACGTGCACCCAAATCTGAGCACACTGGCCTACACCATTTCCGCCTCCATCGGAAATGCAGCCGCCACAGCCGGTATTCGAACCCGCGACCTGCGGGTCAGCAGCCAAGCAATTGTCCAAGAAGACCCCACTAATAATAACAAACATTGCCTGAATGGGCCGTGCCACCCATACTGCAGTAGCAGCAAAGAGACAACTTTTGCAACCATAAAAGCATATATGAAAATCAATCACTATACTTGTTTTACATGAATTAAATTGATGAGCAATTTCAGTGATCATTCTGCACAGATTTCTGTGAGCAGGGATAAAAGCCAGGGGGATTCCAGTTCAAATTAACTGCTGTAGATACCAACCCGTTTGAATAAAAGGACCTACAAGTGACTTTTCTTGACCCCTTTTTTATGGTGCAACGGAAAAGCTCACCCTTCAGAGCACTTGTGGCTGAAGTAGATAATCCGAAAGCACGTAGTTATTTTATAAGTGGTATTTTTTTTATCTGAAAGGCTCTAAACACAGATGTACCTTTTCTCAAAAAACACAGAATCGAGTGCGATGCTGCCAGGCATTCTAATGATTTGTGAAAGCTGTCATCATTCTACTTTCACAGGAGTTCTTGCAAGTATGCTTAACCACATTTATTTTTAGCTTTTCAACTACTTTTGAAAATAACAAGCGTTGTTTTTGAAATACCAATGAGGTGATGTGACATTATACACCTTTCCTGTATTTGTACGCCTACGGCCAACGTTGCCTATGTCATAGGTGGCTTGTCCCAGCATCGTTACTCTCTCGAGACAAGCCAAGTCACTGAAAGTGTCACTACACATATGCATGGCTGTGCCGAGTAGCAGTGCACAAAGTGTAGCTAGTAAAACTATGTAGCTCCAAAATCTTAGCGACCTGCAAATGGTGAGCACGGTTGCACGAACACACTGAAAAGTTGCTCAAGACGCGCTGACCAGCATAGGATCATTATGTTACGTAAAGGCAGTGCCACTTCAACGCATACTGCTAACGCTGGCCCATAGGCACAATTTTACAAAGTAATATATTTTAATAAAAAGAGAGAAACGGTATTTCAATACTAACAAAAAAGTCGTCGACCGCACGAAGCAGTCTACGGTTATGTGGCCAGGTACATCGGATCATTCATGTTTTTGTCGCCACAGGTGTCACAGCTCACTTTTTTGCAACTTTCGATGAATAAAGATATAAATCCACCTCATCATGATCAGCGCACAAAAAAGGAACACGAAAACACAAGGAAGTGCCACGACACAAGCGCTTGTGTCGTGCACTTTCTTGTGTTCTTGTGTTCCTTTTATATGTACTGATCGTGATGAGTATGTTGCAACTAGCCCGATTTGCTACTGTTAATACACCCCTCGCAAAAAAATACTTCCAATACTCTGTCTTCCAATACCAACAAAGGACAGGGAGAAGGCAACAATTGCAAGAACACGGACGTGCTTAGAGAAAAAAGAGGGACGAGCGGGCCAGAATGGGTGAGTCAAAAAAAAAATGGCATTCATGGGGAAGGACTGAATTAGGGCTGTCCAAACGAAGCACCACCTGAACAGGACATCATGGTTATAAATGCCTAAGAAGGGCTTCATTCTGAAGAAATGCTAAGGATGCAACCCACATAGATAAAAAAAAGGAAGGGGGCAGGATTTTGTTAGTCTTTGTGGGTGGGTTGTGTCCTTAACATTTTCTTCAAAGTGAACCAACTAGCCCAAAAGACGCTCCATTAGGCTTAATTCTCAGTGGTTTTTTTATCTTAGTCAGTTCAGTCAAATCAAACTTCCCAAAAGACAGAAAATATACACAGCCACACCTTACTAAAAAGTTTTGATACACTCCAGTCAACAGATAAAAACATTTCAAAGGGGGGCTCTTGAATCCAGCTAATATTATTCAAACATAACCAAAATCAGAGAAAAATAATCTCTCCTTTTAGGAATTTCTAACTGCCCTTATCCCAGAGAAATTCAGAGGTGAAATCGGAAATTAAGGGGGGGGGTTTCGCATGTAGCTATGCCGTTTCAAAGATGACAGAGCAGGTAAGGTTGGCAAGGTTGCCTGGGCTGGAAAGCATAATAGGAATGATCTCGCAGCTTATTGCCTAGTTTTGCTAGCGTGGTGGCATCTGGAACATAATAGTACCAGTTCGAACATGCGCTAAATGCACTACTGATACAAGAGAGTGTGTCAACTTAGAGCAGGCACTGACTGCAGATCCAAACCACAGAGATTGAAGTAAAAAAACAACAACAATGGGGTTAAGTGTTTGGCATGTATTGTGAGATCATGAACGGTAGTTGACCGCTACTACCCGAGAGCTTCGGGGTAAAAGCCCGGATGCTTACAAAGAGAGTTCCACTCAAAGGGTGGTGCCACCTAATTTGAGACTGGCATGTTGTTTGCTACAAGCGATTCCCATAGCTCCAGACGGCACGATTGATGATTGATTTGTGGGGTTTAACGTCCCAAAACCACCATTTGATTATGAGAGACGCCGTAGTGGAGGGCTCCAGAAATTTCGACCACCTGGGGTCCAGGCAGCACGATGCACCAAGATTTATGTATTCTCGCTAAATAATTCCTTGCTGCTTCATTTAGGTTGACCGCTTTCGGTTTCAGTTTCTGAGCGCTAAGTCGAGCAGTGACGTAGCAGTGTAGGTGGTTTGGTCACGTAACAACACATGGATGTGACACATATGGCGAGTGTCGTCTGCTCTCGCACACACGTGCCACACAAGCACCTGCAAAACAAACACACCGACAGCCGCCATGGCTAGCTACAGCAGCTGCAAGTGATGTAGCAACCGATGCTTTGCTGCTACGTACGTCCTGGGGGTAACGGACATCTGGAGGTCACCTGCATCACTGCAGATCTGGTGTGATGTAACTACAACTTTCGCTGCTCTTTCTATAGAGCTAGGTCAGTGTTGGACACGCTCGTAATGTATCTCGATTGGGAGAATGAGCACTTATGAAGCCAATTAAGATATGTCCCAAACATTTGCCGTGTCCGGCCCTTCATCTGGAGTGCCTTTGCATACAAAGGACAAGAGCCACGAACTTTGATGGCACCATTCCTTAAAGTTGAGGGCAATGGAGTGAGCCAGGAAAAGAAAAATGATAACTTTAAGGAACAGGAAGCGAGCAGGAAAGAAACGGGTGTGAAGGGCATCGTTGAAATCAAGAAGAGATCGCATTGCAGGACACAATTGTGGGACACCCCAAAAAGGAAACTTCTGCTCTCCACACATCCGAGTATAAAATCAATGAAGTGAAAAACACACCGACGAAGCGCTGTCTTATAACCAAGGTTTTATTTCATACATGGGTGTATATGTAGCACACGCAACATGAAAGGACAGAGAGAAGAATAGTGACGTGGAATTTTTGATAAAGAAATATTTGTATGCGCCTGAAAGAAACTGTGCTGAATCATTCATTAATGTGACAAATACTTAACTTGCCTGGTTGGGAGCACTAACGTAAGTACACTCACACACATATCTGATTATCACCTTTCTTGTCAATGCAAAATGCCTTATAAATCCCACGTGCTCATTGATCACTGTATCGTCCAAGCATCTTGCATTGATCAAACATAGCATGACAGATGCGTACGGAGCTATGCACAGCTAAGTGGCTGCAAACAGTACCTCACATTAAATTGCGGTGTTCTCTGAGGCGGTCACTTACACAGCGGCCAGTTTGCCCGATATAGCAGTGGCCGCCCCATTAGGGGAGAGTTTTGTATACAGAATTCAGGCAACATTCAACAAACTTGTTTGCATGTTTCTTATCACACATGCAAGGCCCTTTGTCCTCTCTGTTCACCTTATGGCGCATGCTAGAGAAATTATTTTTTTGCTGAAAAAACAGCTCTGAAGCCTGCTTTGTGTGCTACCTTTTTTAAGAGGGACATGACTTGTGGAGATCGGAAAAGCGCGAAAAAACTTGCTTTTTATTGCATTTTTGAAATCTACAGCTACTAGAGCACCTATATTGCGAATTTTATGCCCACATCATTATTTTAGCCGCTAAGACCCTTTATACAGTGCCTATTACCTAAATCTGAGCCTGAATCAATG